TAACCCGCGCCATCTAGCGAGATAAAACTACTTGTCTAATTTAGACATCCTCCCGCCTCGGCGAAGAGAACTTACAAAATGATATAATTTATACATTTCAACTGCGCATGGGTATTTAATTTAATTCAATGACAATTCATTCGCTCGATTTCAATAAGGTTATTCTATGTTATACAAATCAATAGGTGCTTCAGCTCAACTAACTACAATAGCTCATGATTCTTATAATCTATACAATAAATATTTTCTCTTTATGTTACAATTCAAATTACTCAATTTACAATTCATTACTTATTCGAATTCATATTTCATTTTGCTGCACTCGGTTCCGGTGAATCGGCCAGTTGATCTTCCATTGGTAACAGGACGAGTTTTGATATCGGCCGCACATAATCTGATTTCGGTGTCCGTATCTTAACCGACCGCACAACGTTGTCCTTCCCAGGATAGGTTTCAATCACTCGCGCTACGGGCCAAGTGGCTGGTGGTACGTTGTCTTCTTTTAGCAGCACAAAATCTCCAACGCATAAATTCCGCTCATTTCGATTCCACTTGTATCGGTTTTGTAGTGTACCGATGTAAAGGGTGATTCATTTAAAACTTTTTTTTTTATTTTTGAATAAAACACAGAAAATTTAAATCGATCGCCAAATTTTTATTACCATCTGAAAGAACATTCTATGGCATTTACTTTTTGAAGATAATCCCTTTCAGATGTTGGCCATAACTGCGCTTAAGGTGGTCCATCCGGAAGTTCCAATTTTCGATGACTCTTTCGAGCATAGGGACCTGAATTGCGGCGATTTCTCGCGTAATGTTGTCTTACAAAGCGTCAATCGTCGCTGGCTTGTTCGCGTAGACTTTTGACTTCAGATAGCCCCAAAGGAAGAAGTCTAACGGGGTGATATCGCACGATCTTGGTGGCCATTTGACCGGTCCGTTGCGCGAAATCAACTGTTCACCGAATTGACGTCGCAATAGCGCCATTGAAAGTCGCGATACGTGGCATGAAGCGCCGTCTTGTTGAAACCAAATATCGTCGAGATCACGGGCTTCAATTTCAGGCACCAACCAGTCCGTTATCATTTCGCGATATCGGTCCCCATTGACAGTAACGTTGCGGCCGGCCTCATTTCGAAAGAAGTAAGGTCCAATGATTCCACCGGCCCAAAGACCACACCAAACCGTTGTTCTCAATGGATGTAATGGCAGTTCTTGAACTTGTTCGGGTTGTTCTTCTCCCCAAATACGGCAATTGTGCTTATTTACGTGGCCATTGAGCGTAAAGTGGGCCTCATCACTGAACAAAATTCTGGTCGAAAACAGTGGATCTTCTTCCAGTTTTTCGAGGGCCCAAACACTGAAACGGTAGCGATTGGGCATGTCGGTTGGCTTCAATTCTTGCACGAGTTGAATTTTGTAAGCCTTTAAACCAAGATCACGACGTAAAATACGCCAGGTGGTGGCATAAGACAAGCCAAGCTGCTGCGAACGGTGCCGAATCGATTCTTCCCGGTCTTCGCGTACACTGTCGGCTACCGCCGCTATATTTTCAGCACTGCGAGCTGGATGTGGTCTATTCGGTCGTAAATCATCCAATAATGTAAATTGGGTTTCCAATTTGGCGATGGTATTCCGTATAGTGGGTTCCGTGGGTCGATGATGTTGACCATAAGTTGACCGAAGTCCACGAAACACATTCCTCACAGAACGCGAATTTTCGTAGTACAATTGAACGATTTGTAAACGTTGGGCTGGAGTGAGTCTTTCCATGATAAAATGCCAAACAATACTGAACAAAAATAGCCTGACAGTTGGACACGAATCACGCGTGATCCACGAAAAAATCCCTATTGAAAAAAAACCTCTAAATGAATCACCCTTTATTCTTTGCGCCACGTATTCCAAAAGTCTTGTTGTATTTTGTCAAGAACCTTTTGTTGCTTCAATCGATTCAATGGAATGTCATGAAGATTATCGCACAGTGGTTGGATGGTCCGCTCACCGATCACAGCATGTGATGGAGTCAAATAATTTAGATCATATGGATCATCAGTTAACGGCACAAGTGGTCGACTGTTCAAAACAGCCGAAATTTTCGCAAACAGGGTTTGATACCGCTCAAAAGTTAAACTTTTATCAATTAACATGCGCTTCATGTGATGTTTTGCTGACTTTACAGCTGCTTCCCAAATTCCTCCTTGATTTGGTGCTCTTGGAGTAATAAATTTCCATCGAAGACCTTTGACGCTCAAGAAGTCTTCCATCTCTTTCGATTTCCATGATTTGGTTACATCGCACAGCTCATTCTTTGCACCCACAAATGTTTTACCATTGTCGCTGAACATGCCATCTGGCATTTGATAAATCGAAGTAAATCGCGCAAATGACCATAAAAACCGCTCAGTGGTTAGATCCGAAATACATTCAATATGCACCATTTTAGTTGTCATGCATATGAAAACGGCAGCATAGCCGGTGTCGATTGAATTACATCTTCCTTCATATCGCTTAATTCGAATCGGCCCAAAATAATCAACTCCGCAAT